GCACATCACCAAGAGACACACTAAGATATCCACAGCGATGACAAGCAGCAAATAGTGCCAATCACCATTTCCAGTTTCTTACAAGCATAAAGTCCTCAGTGCAGCACAAGCGGAAAGCGGTGACATCTGTCTCTTTCTCCCCGAAAGTTTGAGATAACAATATGACGCCTGCATAGAACATACATACCACACACAGACTGCTCTCCAGCTCGTCGAGTGTGCTCTCTCCACAAACTACTCATCCAAGCACACAACACAAGGGCGGGCCTGGTTCCATCTTTGTATTGCAATGTCACTTGTGTTTGCATATTTTATTTCCGTCCTCTTTTTGCAAGGAACCGATCGATAAGAAGACAAATTTTCTGAGCAGCAAAAACACAAAGCAGAACATGCATGTGCGAGCCAAGCCGAAAGCAGATTTACAAGCCAGGAACACACCAAATGAGAACACACTTGTAGTGAAGTCTCTCGATAAAGAAAGCCCGACTTCTTGCTTCTCTCGTAAATACAAAAACAAATTAGCTGCTCGCCTACGATGCAACCGCCTGTGCTACTCCCCTATTCACTGTACGTACCATTCTACTTCTCTATCTCTCGCTCTCTTCTCCCTCACTGTCCACCTTCCTCTCGCCCAACAACGCTGCAGAGTCTGACCTCTACACGTGTGCTCCTTGGCCGCTGCCAGGTATGCCCATCGCTTTTCCTTCCCCTGGTTACCCAATCGCTGTGCACCCCTTCTTCTGCCAACGCAGCTATGGCTGCTACTAGAGCAGTTTTACCGCATTGGCTCCTCCTTTCTTGAAGTTTCTTCTTCGTCAAAGCGCTGTGTGCATCCGCTTGCTGCTGCGCTAATTTCAGTGCACGAGTCGAGGAATGAATGCGTGCCCTGGCCGCTGTTGGTTTTGTTTGCTTGAGGAGGCCATCGTTACTTTCTGCCGGCTGGGCCTACCGGTAGAAGCTTATGGACAGCTGCCACATGCTTTCACTTTCCTGGGCCTTCTCTTAGGGCCCAGCAGTTATTTCTGAACACCTTGGCCGTCCTTTAGGGTCCGGCTTTATGCCCGGCCTTCACTTAGGGGCGGGTAAATTTGATGCGTGCAGCCCCGGGCACCACCCAGGCCTATTGCCTCACATTTTTTTCCTTTCTTTGCAGATTGCGGCCAATCCACACCACTTCAGTGAGTGCCAGCACAGTTTTGCAGATATGGCAAGCGGGGCTTTCCTCTTCAGGCATTTACAGAGCTGCACGGAGCAGTACTCCACCCACTGCAGGCCGAAGCGAAGTGATTCATGAGCTGACGCATGACCTGGTACCTCCTCAGCAGAGATAAACTCATGGATTTCAGAATCAAGACGATGGGTGAGTAGCATCGTTCTGAGGAGACCTCCAAAGACATGACAATCTGAACTAATTGATTAAGAACCAGCTCGTCCTTTCTTCAAAAAACCAAGACGAAAGCCACAATCACTCCTGGCAGCGCACACCATCAGAGCTGTAGTGGCCTGCCACAGCATTGTCTGACTCTTCTCCTTGATGAGTGAGGAGTGCCAAAAAAGATATCACAATGCTTATCCGCTCAAGCAACTTCCCACTGTTCCATCTCGACCTCCATGTGGGCGGCGAGATGTCTATGAAGCTAGGGCTCCAATGTTGTTTCTATGAAGCATCCGCGAACAGTCCCCCGCATAAACATGCCAGGCAGAGAGTTGAACTCCATGAGCTTACACAGGCCTGCAGCTTCAGATTAGGCAATAACAGGTGAACAGCACTGAGCCTCAATCGCAAAGGCTGTCAGACAGAACAGAGGTGAGGTACAAATAGGGGCCCTGCTGTAATAAGTAATTACTAATCAGTAATTACAATGAAAAAGAAAAAGAAAAAAGACGGATGGACTTAGATCAAGTTCAGATCTGCGACCGTTATTTTCTATAGCTGAACCAAGCCGTCATTATGGCAACAACATCGGGCCATAACCTGAGATCCAACACATTAGAGAAAAGGTAGTCGTAGTGTCAGTGTTGTTCCCCAGGGCAACAGCAGTACTACTATCGATGAAGAAATGGAAACCTAGGCTACTTGCTACTTGGCTCGCCTGGCCGTGCAGGATGGACCGTGCAACCCGGACAAGTCCCCCGGGGGTCAACTGCACAGGAAACCCCGTGCAAGAAAAAATCAGCCCTTTCCCTACACTTATTAAAATCGCTAACTCTAATGTGTCGGATCTCAGTTATGGCCCGATGTCGTTGCCATAATGACGTTTTGGTTCAGCTATAGAAAATAACGGTCGCGGATCTGAACTTGATCCAAGTCCATCCGTTTTTTTTCTTTTTCTTTTTAATTGTAATTACTTATTGTTATTGCCTAATCTGAAGCTGCAGGTCTGTGTAAGCTCATGGAGTTCAACTCTCTGCCTGGCATGTTTATGCCGGGGACTGTTCGCAGATGCTTCATCGGAACAACATTGGAGCCCGAGCTTCCGGGCCGTCCACGTACCGGCCCGACGGCCCGGATTGCCCCACGAACTTAAGATTTTAAGATCACGTGGTGATCGAGGCCATTCGCGGTCCTACCGGCCCGATGGCCCGGATTAGAAGTTTGCAGCCCAACCGAAGTTAGGGCTGCCAGGCGTGGGGAGAAACCAGTTCCAGGCGGGATGGTCTCCTCTTGGGCTCAGCGGTTTGGCCCCCCCACAAAAGCCCGCCCGTCCACGCTAACAAGCACATGCACGCGCACACACACAAAAGCACGAACACACGCATGCATGCAAACGCATCATGGGCAGACTGTAGGAGTTCAACCTCCTGATGAGTTGGTGAAAGTCCAACGAAACAGTCTGGCACAGTCATGCTTTTTTAGTGAGTGCGCACTGTGTAACACTCCGTACGACGTACGGGGGGTTTATCGTACGGTCGTACGTACGGCCGTATGAACGGCCGTACGGCTGTACGTACAGCCCCGTACGAAAAAAAAAACAAAAAAAAAAAACGTTTTTTTTTATCTCAAATTTGGTAACGAATTTCAATATGACCCTGAGGCAAAAGTGTTTCAGTTTATTTTTCTGCATAACATTTTTTTTTTTCCAGATTTTTTTGATTTTTTTTTTTTTGCTTTTTTTCCGTACGTACGACCCGTACGACCACATGAGCCCGTACGTACGGAGCACGCGAGAGAGAGAGAGAGAGAGAGAGAGAGAGAGAGAGAGAGAGAGAGAGAGAGAGAGAGAGAGAGAGAGAGAGAGAGAGAGAGAGAGAGAG